CAGCCTTTCTATCAGCTAAATAAAGCCATCTCTTCAAATTACACTAGCACTCAGCCCATGTATATACTGTATGTGTGTATCCACCAGCAAAATGTCGATGTGGGTGGACTCCAGAGAGATACAACAATGGTACAGGTGGTGTATGGTGTGTTCTGGTAATTCAGCTCTTCAATTGGGGATGCACAGCACGAGTAAAAGCAGTCAGGTGTGCCTGTGCTCAAGTGGCAAGCCAGTGTCGGCCACAAGGGTGCTACAATTTCGGGGGGCTCGACCTACTGTTGCAGGCACTGAATAAATTCATTTGAAAAGGATGAAAGCACGTGTTGGAGAGAAGAAGCCTTGTGACCTCCATGCTCCAATGAAGGAGCTTTTGCGTTAGGTCTAAAGTGACTGTCATGAGGGAAATGCTAGCCATGTTTCCCATAGCCAAAAACCCCTGTGGAGGACAGTCAAGGGCTGCTGTTCAAGATTGCCTACGGCTGAACAGGGTTGGAGTCTCACCTGTTTCCAGTTATTTGGGTTTTGTGCAGAAAAGGTGGGGTCTTTGCCAGCTGGGAAACCAACCCCAAGGGGTATAGCTGATCATTCGGGGACCCAGAAGTGCCATCGTGTGACTTGCAGGAGTTTTCATAATGGACCGGTGAAATTGTTCCTAAAAATACAGTGCTGGTCCAGCTCAGCTGTTGAAAAATGAATTGCTCCAGTCTCTCTGATAACATGTTCCTTACTTTGCTTTTATGTTTAAAACTGTGACTGGACTCAGTCTTGGAACTGCAGATTTGCCTAGCTTGATCAGCTGTTTACTCACGCTTACAAGGTCTTCTTCCCTGTCAGCTACCCATGTGTGTAGGGTGACTCCTTTAAATATAATCTACCCACCCTTGGGATTAGTTGCCTTGTATTTAAGACTTTGATCATGGGCTCATCATCCCCACCCTCCCCTTGACCCAAGAGACATGGGGTAAGGAGTGGGGAGGATGAAGGGGTAAAGAAAAAAACAAAACATTCAAATAGATCAGGGTTTGGGTGGGAAACGAACTGAAATGTGGAAAACACATAAAAAAGAAAGTAGTGGAAGGCAATGCTAAAAATGAAGGTGCCAAGATAAAGGAAGAAAAGTAGAGCCTAGGGGGAAAAAAGGGAAGGAGGCTCAGTAAATTACCTTGTGTCCCTGTGTTCACATGTGTAAGTTAACTGCAGTATGGCTGGGTGGGTATTTTTTCCAACCAAAATGGAACATTTCAGGGTCCAGCCCCTCTTGGAGGCTAGTTCTCTCTGGGGTTCTCTAGTTTCATGTCCCTGATGCTCTCTTTTGCCCCTGCTGTTTCTTCAGGGAAGAGGTAACAAATGCATAGTAATATACCTTGCCGTGTTTGTTGTCTTTCTGCATGGGCTGTGCCGAGTTCATAAAATGCTGTTGCTGATCTGCACCTGCCTCCTGGTCTCCGCAGTGCTTCCCTTTTCCCCGCCTCCTTCCCCAGCTGTGGTGCCCTTGCAGGCTCTTTGGTTCTGTGTTTCCTCATCCTCTCATTCTTTGGTTCCTTGTCCTGTTCCCTACCCCGTTCCTGGGACTCACGTACCTTTCTGTTTCTTGCTGGGCCCTCGTGTGATGACTAACAGGGTCGCCACCTTTCCTAAGGACGGTGTGGCTTCAAGCCATCGGAAACATTGGAGATGCAGCCATCTTGCAGAGGGTCTGTCTGTGGCGTCCATCCCACTGTCACTACTGGGATGTGGCATCGATCTTAGGCCACTTTCTGTCCTCATGCTCCTTCAAAATCATTGTATAGAAAAGCCCTCTCCCTTCTGATTTTCTTAGAGATTGTAGTAACCATAGCCTGTAGTCAAGAACCTGCTCCACTCCTTCCTTACTGTTGTTACTCTCAACCGTATCTGTTATCCATTATGTGGTTCATAGCCACAGTTGGAGCTCTTTTCTTGAGGACAGGTCCTCAGCAAAATAGGCCATGTTACATTAAAAAAAGATACATCAGGATGAGTGTAGGAGGGGGTAAAACAGACATGACACGGTCTTTGCTACTGTGGAACTTGCGAGCGCAGTGATCTTTGAAGTACCGTATCAAAACTAGAAGTTGTGGTTAGGCTTACTTTTAGCCACATTTTCAAAATGTGTCAATTAAAAGGGATCCAGGTACCAGCGCTTCTGCTGCATTATGGCTTGTGCCTATTCTAACTCGGAGTCTACATTCTGGCGTCTCCCAGCTCTAACCCTTGCTCTAATGAACAGCTGTTAGAACTGGCTGGAAAGGTTTTTTGGTGCGGTGTTCCTATAGCTTGAACACGTAATTCCATGGGAAACTCCCTTGCTACGGCCTTTTCCATGAATGCTGTTTCTAATAGGTATTGTATTTTGCAGTGTTTGTTAGAATGATTGTGTGTAGCATGTCAGTCTGACTTTACATGATGATGCCCTACTGTCTTTTGTTGCGTCTTTGCCTTACGCTTAAAATGCACAATATATAATGTGTGTGCCAACAGTATGCTTGAAATACAGAATTTGACGACAGCTTTATCAGGAACTTCCAGGTGAGCTTCGTTTTCAGGGCTTCCCATGTCCTTCACCATAACATGCAAAAATGTGGTTCAGTCCTTTGTTTTCATAGGCAAAGTGTTGGGGAGGATGTGAACCCTACTGAAAACTTTAATGTCCCTTTGCATAACCCAAGTTTTGCAAACCAGCTTGTTAGGATTAAAAGGTGAGCTTTCATCTTGTTAACAAGATCATCCTTCTGCACCTATCCTCCAAAAAGTGACTTGAGGATAATTCTCTATGAAGTATACAGAATTATTGGAAATGATTCCTAGCTTGGATGTTTCTTTAACTGTTGTTTTATTTTCATGAGGGATGGGGTGTTATAAAAACATGTTTCAAGCTATCAGATGCTCAATAACTATCATATTGTTCCCTTTGATTACTCTCTATCCCCATGAGAGAAGCCTCCGATAATCTGGGTAGTCCTGAGACAAAGGTACTTGTGCTGCATGCATCAACCAGAAAAGAATCTGGACAGTCTTATCAGAGTTTTTACATCCCTATAGTTACTAAGCAGCTATTAGGCTTGCAGACAATTTAAACAGTGGGTTTCATGTTTATGCTGCTAGTATGGGTAGAGGTCTTCTCAAAATGCTAAATGTGTGCTAAACGTGAAAGGTGACATTTTGAATAAATGCATATAGCTGGGGCTATATCTGTATGGCAAAAAAAAAAAAAAGCACTGAAATGAGGATGGCTGCAGATCCAATTAT